AGGTACGCCCTTCCTCATCCCAGTTCTCTCACAGGTACGCCCTTCCTCATCCCAGTTCTCTCACAGGTACGCCCTTCCTCATCCCAGTTCTCTCACAGGTACGCCCTTCCTCATCCCAGTTCTCTCACAGGTACGCCCTTCCTCATCCCAGTTCTCTCACAGGTACGCCCTTCCTCATCCCAGTTCTCTCACAGGTACGCCCTTCCTCATCCCAGTTCTCTCACAGGTACGCCCTTCCTCATCCCAGTTCTCTCACAGGTACGCCCTTCCTCATCCCAGTTCTCTCACAGGTACGCCCTTCCTCATCCCAGTTCTCTCACAGGTACGCCCTTCCTCATCCCAGTTCTCTCACAGGTACGCCCTTCCTCATCCCAGTTCTCTCACAGGTACGCCCTTCCTCATCCCAGTTCTCTCACAGGTACGCCCTTCCTCATCCCAGTTCTCTCACAGGTACGCCCTTCCTCATCCCAGTTCTCTCACAGGTACGCCCTTCCTCATCCCAGTTCTCTCACAGGTACGCCCTTCCTCATCCCAGTTCTCTCACAGGTACGCCCTTCCTCATCCCAGTTCTCTCACAGGTACGCCCTTCCTCATCCCAGTTCTCTCACAGGTACGCCCTTCCTCATCCCAGTTCTCTCACAGGTACGCCCTTCCTCATCCCAGTTCTCTCACAGGTACGCCCTTCCTCATCCCAGTTCTCTCACAGGTACGCCCTTCCTCATCCCAGTTCTCTCACAGGTACGCCCTTCCTCATCCCAGTTCTCTCACAGGTACGCCCTTCCTCATCCCAGTTCTCTCACAGGTACGCCCTTCCTCATCCCAGTTCTCTCACAGGTACGCCCTTCCTCATCCCAGTTCTCTCACAGGTACGCCCTTCCTCATCCCAGTTCTCTCACAGGTACGCCCTTCCTCATCCCAGTTCTCTCACAGGTACGCCCTTCCTCATCCCAGTTCTCTCACAGGTACGCCCTTCCTCATCCCAGTTCTCTCACAGGTACGCCCTTCCTCATCCCAGTTCTCTCACAGGTACGCCCTTCCTCATCCCAGTTCTCTCACAGGTACGCCCTTCCTCATCCCAGTTCTCTCACAGGTACGCCCTTCCTCATCCCAGTTCTCTCACAGGTACGCCCTTCCTCATCCCAGTTCTCTCACAGGTACGCCCTTCCTCATCCCAGTTCTCTCACAGGTACGCCCTTCCTCATCCCAGTTCTCTCACAGGTACGCCCTTCCTCATCCCAGTTCTCTCACAGGTACGCCCTTCCTCATCCCAGTTCTCTCACAGGTACGCCCTTCCTCATCCCAGTTCTCTCACAGGTACGCCCTTCCTCATCCCAGTTCTCTCACAGGTACGCCCTTCCTCATCCCAGTTCTCTCACAGGTACGCCCTTCCTCATCCCAGTTCTCTCACAGGTACGCCCTTCCTCATCCCAGTTCTCTCACAGGTACGCCCTTCCTCATCCCAGTTCTCTCACAGGTACGCCCTTCCTCATCCCAGTTCTCTCACAGGTACGCCCTTCCTCATCCCAGTTCTCTCACAGGTACGCCCTTCCTCATCCCAGTTCTCTCACAGGTACGCCCTTCCTCATCCCAGTTCTCTCACAGGTACGCCCTTCCTCATCCCAGTTCTCTCACAGGTACGCCCTTCCTCATCCCAGTTCTCTCACAGGTACGCCCTTCCTCATCCCAGTTCTCTCACAGGTACGCCCTTCCTCATCCCAGTTCTCTCACAGGTACGCCCTTCCTCATCCCAGTTCTCTCACAGGTACGCCCTTCCTCATCCCAGTTCTCTCACAGGTACGCCCTTCCTCATCCCAGTTCTCTCACAGGTACGCCCTTCCTCATCCCAGTTCTCTCACAGGTACGCCCTTCCTCATCCCAGTTCTCTCACAGGTACGCCCTTCCTCATCCCAGTTCTCTCACAGGTACGCCCTTCCTCATCCCAGTTCTCTCACAGGTACGCCCTTCCTCATCCCAGTTCTCTCACAGGTACGCCCTTCCTCATCCCAGTTCTCTCACAGGTACGCCCTTCCTCATCCCAGTTCTCTCACAGGTACGCCCTTCCTCATCCCAGTTCTCTCACAGGTACGCCCTTCCTCATCCCAGTTCTCTCACAGGTACGCCCTTCCTCATCCCAGTTCTCTCACAGGTACGCCCTTCCTCATCCCAGTTCTCTCACAGGTACGCCCTTCCTCATCCCAGTTCTCTCACAGGTACGCCCTTCCTCATCCCAGTTCTCTCACAGGTACGCCCTTCCTCATCCCAGTTCTCTCACAGGTACGCCCTTCCTCATCCCAGTTCTCTCACAGGTACGCCCTTCCTCATCCCAGTTCTCTCACAGGTACGCCCTTCCTCATCCCAGTTCTCTCACAGGTACGCCCTTCCTCATCCCAGTTCTCTCACAGGTACGCCCTTCCTCATCCCAGTTCTCTCACAGGTACGCCCTTCCTCATCCCAGTTCTCTCACAGGTACGCCCTTCCTCATCCCAGTTCTCTCACAGGTACGCCCTTCCTCATCCCAGTTCTCTCACAGGTACGCCCTTCCTCATCCCAGTTCTCTCACAGGTACGCCCTTCCTCATCCCAGTTCTCTCACAGGTACGCCCTTCCTCATCCCAGTTCTCTCACAGGTACGCCCTTCCTCATCCCAGTTCTCTCACAGGTACGCCCTTCCTCATCCCAGTTCTCTCACAGGTACGCCCTTCCTCATCCCAGTTCTCTCACAGGTACGCCCTTCCTCATCCCAGTTCTCTCACAGGTACGCCCTTCCTCATCCCAGTTCTCTCACAGGTACGCCCTTCCTCATCCCAGTTCTCTCACAGGTACGCCCTTCCTCATCCCAGTTCTCTCACAGGTACGCCCTTCCTCATCCCAGTTCTCTCACAGGTACGCCCTTCCTCATCCCAGTTCTCTCACAGGTACGCCCTTCCTCATCCCAGTTCTCTCACAGGTACGCCCTTCCTCATCCCAGTTCTCTCACAGGTACGCCCTTCCTCATCCCAGTTCTCTCACAGGTACGCCCTTCCTCATCCCAGTTCTCTCACAGGTACGCCCTTCCTCATCCCAGTTCTCTCACAGGTACGCCCTTCCTCATCCCAGTTCTCTCACAGGTACGCCCTTCCTCATCCCAGTTCTCTCACAGGTACGCCCTTCCTCATCCCAGTTCTCTCACAGGTACGCCCTTCCTCATCCCAGTTCTCTCACAGGTACGCCCTTCCTCATCCCAGTTCTCTCACAGGTACGCCCTTCCTCATCCCAGTTCTCTCACAGGTACGCCCTTCCTCATCCCAGTTCTCTCACAGGTACGCCCTTCCTCATCCCAGTTCTCTCACAGGTACGCCCTTCCTCATCCCAGTTCTCTCACAGGTACGCCCTTCCTCATCCCAGTTCTCTCACAGGTACGCCCTTCCTCATCCCAGTTCTCTCACAGGTACGCCCTTCCTCATCCCAGTTCTCTCACAGGTACGCCCTTCCTCATCCCAGTTCTCTCACAGGTACGCCCTTCCTCATCCCAGTTCTCTCACAGGTACGCCCTTCCTCATCCCAGTTCTCTCACAGGTACGCCCTTCCTCATCCCAGTTCTCTCACAGGTACGCCCTTCCTCATCCCAGTTCTCTCACAGGTACGCCCTTCCTCATCCCAGTTCTCTCACAGGTACGCCCTTCCTCATCCCAGTTCTCTCACAGGTACGCCCTTCCTCATCCCAGTTCTCTCACAGGTACGCCCTTCCTCATCCCAGTTCTCTCACAGGTACGCCCTTCCTCATCCCAGTTCTCTCACAGGTACGCCCTTCCTCATCCCAGTTCTCTCACAGGTACGCCCTTCCTCATCCCAGTTCTCTCACAGGTACGCCCTTCCTCATCCCAGTTCTCTCACAGGTACGCCCTTCCTCATCCCAGTTCTCTCACAGGTACGCCCTTCCTCATCCCAGTTCTCTCACAGGTACGCCCTTCCTCATCCCAGTTCTCTCACAGGTACGCCCTTCCTCATCCCAGTTCTCTCACAGGTACGCCCTTCCTCATCCCAGTTCTCTCACAGGTACGCCCTTCCTCATCCCAGTTCTCTCACAGGTACGCCCTTCCTCATCCCAGTTCTCTCACAGGTACGCCCTTCCTCATCCCAGTTCTCTCACAGGTACGCCCTTCCTCATCCCAGTTCTCTCACAGGTACGCCCTTCCTCATCCCAGTTCTCTCACAGGTACGCCCTTCCTCATCCCAGTTCTCTCACAGGTACGCCCTTCTCATCCCAGTTCTCTCACAGGTACGCCCTTCTCATCCCAGTTCTCTCACAGGTACGCCCTTCCTCATCCCAGTTCTCTCACAGGTACGCCCTTCCTTATCCCAGTTCTCTCACAGGTACGCCCTTCCTCATCCCAGTTCTCTCACAGGTACGCCCTTCCTTATCCCAGTTCTCTCACAGGTACGCCCTTCCTCATCCCAGTTCTCTCACAGGTACGCCCTTCCTTATCCCAGTTCTCTCACAGGTACGCCCTTCCTTATCCCAGTTCTCTCACAGGTACGCCCTTCTCATCCCAGTTCTCTCACAGGTACGCCCTTCTCATCCCAGTTCTCTCACAGGTACGCCCTTCCTCATCCCAGTTCTCTCACAGGAATGCCGCTCCGTGTAAGCCAAACAAGAACGCCCCTTCCTTCCCTTTGTGTTCCTTGTCTGGCAGTGCACCCTCTCTTATATCTCTCTCACTTCTCTCTCTCGCTTCTTTCTTCAACCATCTCTGCCATTTTGCACCGCACACAACCTTGCCATTGTTCCCCCTTCCCTCCTCACCAGGTCTTCCTGGTGGCAGCTCACCCTCTCTTATCCCTTCTATTCAGCCCTCCCTGCCGCTCTGCACCGCACACAACCTCTGTGTTCCTCTCTCCCCAACCCAATAGGTCTTCCTGGTGCGGCAGCTCACCCTCTCTTATCCCTTCTATTCAGCCCTCCCTGCCGTTCTGCACCGCACACAACCTTTGTGTTCCTCGCTCCCCACCCAACCCCAACAGGTCTTCCTGGTGTGGCAGCTCTCCCTATCTTATTTCTTCCTCGGTCGTCGCTACTCGCCCCAGCAGATTCTGGGATGCTTCCTCGTGATCGTGGGGGTTGCGGTGGTGGTGGTCACAAGGTACTGCTGGTGCATGCCATGCCATGCCACGTCATCACGTCAAATGCCACATCATTCCACATCATGCCACATCATGCCACATCATGCCACACCATGCCGCATCATGGCACATCATTCCAAATCATGCCATGATGTCCAGACCATGCCATTTCATCTCGTGAATTTGTTAATCACCTTCCTCCCATTCTTCCTTCCTCCCCGCCAACCCAACTTAACCCAACCCTTCCCTCTCCCTTGCCCCCCTTCCCTTGCCGCTCCAATCCCAATCCCACCGCACTGCACCACAGTGGACCGCCATTGCATCATGTATCCACGTTATTAGCTTCTCTGCTAGCAGCAACAGCGATCCAGTGGCCCCTCCTCTTCATAGTATCCACTGTGTTTCCAGCAGCATCCTCTATTATTAAGGCGAGAGTCTTTCCCCTGCTGCCAGCTTTATTCCTAGAAGCAGAATTTTCCATTGACCCCTCGGCCTTTTGTTGTTGTTGTTGTTTTTTTTTTTTTTTTTTTCCCTACAATTTCCTTTCTAGCATGTTCATCTGCTGTAGTATTTTTGAAGGCAAACCTTGAGTCAAAGAAAATTAATTCACGCAGCACAACTTCATATCTTCTTTCCGTGATCTGCTTATCTCTGCCATTCTAATCCATGTTGATTTCCTTGCTTTGCTTCTGATCGACAGGAGTCTGTTTTCCGAGATTCTGCCAAGAAGCTCAACGTAAGCCTTACCACCACCCTCAGTTAATGCCTCAGTTACAGCGCACCTTTTATTAGGCACCTCAAAAGCAAGCCAGTGTTGGGGCCAAGTAAACGCTGCACATGACATCCAAACAGCACACAAACACGCATACGTATATTATACAATATGAGTATACAGTATGCCAAGCATTCTCATCTTATTATCGCATGTCACATCTTACTCGTTGCATGCCAAGCCTTCTCATCTTATTATTGCATGTCACATCTTACTCGTTGCATGCCAAGCCTTCTCATCTTCTCAACACCACACCACACCACACCACACCACACCCCACCCTACTACGCCACACCCTACCACACCGCACCGCACCACAGGGTCGCTCGTTGGACATATTTGTTGTCAACACCTTCGGATCAGCCTTCCAGGTGCTCCCTCCTCTGCCCTTCGATTTGCGATTTCGCCCTTTCATGAACCCCCAGTACCCTTTCCCCTTGATGTCACGCTGTGATCCAAAAGTCATTTTGCCGCTCATCTCCTCATCTAATGATTGGTTGGCACATCGGGTGATTTTCAAGTCGACTCTGAACAGTCACCTCTCTGGTTTTGAGTCGACTCACCACTCATCTCCTCACTTGTGTACACCGTAATAACGAGGTAACTTATGAGTCACTGCACAATCATACCCAGATCTTTCCTCCTGTTTCTTTTTTCTTTTTCCCCCACCCTCCCACCACCACAGGCGCTTTTCATCCTCATCCTGCTGCCGTTCATCTCCTCTCTGGGGTACAGAATCCCTCCCGCGCAGCTTCCAGCCTACTTCCGGGAAGGTGCTGCGTGCCTTCTCAACTTCAACCAGAACATTCCAGGTGCGTCGTCAGTTAGAGCTGAGCTAGCTTTTGTGGTGGCACTGACAAATGAACGGATCATAAGTGCTGTAGCATCTTTCCTAGTTAGCTGATCGGATTGTAAGTGCTAACCACTTACTTACGATAACAGTAGCATCTTGCTTGCTTTGATAGACCTGAAGGTTATGCTACTGTTATCGCATCGTGCCTTTCATGGCCACGTGCCTTGTCAACTTCAATTCAACCAGAACATCCCAACTGCGTCGTCAGTTACAGCTGAATGGATCGCACGTGTTATCCTGGTGCTACTGCATCTTGCCTTACAAACATATCCTGGTCCGCCAACATATTTCTGCCCCAATGCTTCCCCTCCCTACCACTTCCCACAAACCATTCCAGGCTGTCAGGGAGCGCCTCTCCTCCTGCTGCGTGTATTGAGGGTATTTTTGTGACGTCTCAATACATCTCGCCAGGCTGTCAGGGAGCGCCTCTCCTCCTGCTGCGTGTATTGAGGGTATTTTTGTGACGTCTCAATACATCTCGCCAGGCTGTCAGGGAGCGCCTCTCCTCCTGCTGCGTGTATTGAGGGTATTTTTGTGACGTCTCAATACATCTCGCCAGGCTGTCAGGGAGCGCCTCTCCTCCTGCTGCGTGTATTGAGGGTATTTTTGTGACGTCTCAATACATCTCGCCAGGCTGTCAGGGAGCGCCTCTCCTCCTGCTGCGTGTATTGAGGGTGTGACGTCTCAATACATCTCGCCAGGCTGTCAGGGAGCGCCTCTCCTCCTGCTGCGTGTATTGAGGGTATTTTTGTGACGTCTCAATACATCTCGCCAGGCTGTCAGGGAGCGCCTCTCCTCCCACTGCTCTACGTGGCGGCCAACCGAGCGTTCAACATCTCTCTGCTTGCAAACTTGTGTGCTGCTGTTTCCCTTATTGAGACGTCTCAAAACTCAACCTCGTGTCCTGCTGTTGCCCTTCTCACCGCTCCCCACAAACCTTCCAGGCTGCCAGGGAGCCCCCCTCCTCCCTCTGCTCTACGTGGCAGCCAACCTAGCCTCCAACATCTCTCTGCTGGCTGTGTCTGTATATGCCCCTCCCATATCTCTCCTCCCATTCTCTCCTCCCCAATTCCACCTTTCCAGGCTGCCAGGGAGCCCCCCTCCTCCCTCTGCTCTACGTGGCAGCCAACCTAGCCTCCAACATCTCTCTGCTGGCTGTGTCTGTATATGCCCCTCCCATATCTCTCCTCCCATTCTCTCCTCCCCAATTCCACCTTTCCAGGCTGCCAGGGAGCCCCCCTCCTCCCTCTGCTCTACGTGGCAGCCAACCTAGCCTCCAACATCTCTCTGCTGGCTGTGTCTGTATATGCCCCTCCCATATCTCTCCTCCCATTCTCTCCTCCCCAATTCCACCTTTCCAGGCTGCCAGGGAGCCCCCCTCCTCCCTCTGCTCTACGTGGCAGCCAACCTAGCCTCCAACATCTCTCTGCTGGCTGTGTCTGTATATGCCCCTCCCATATCTCTCCTCCCATTCTCTCCTCCCCAATTCCACCTTTCCAGGCTGCCAGGGAGCCCCCCTCCTCCCTCTGCTCTACGTGGCAGCCAACCTAGCCTCCAACATCTCTCTGCTGGCTGTGTCTGTATATGCCCCTCCCATATCTCTCCTCCCATTCTCTCCTCCCCAATTCCACCTTTCCAGGCTGCCAGGGAGCCCCCCTCCTCCCTCTGCTCTACGTGGCAGCCAACCTAGCCTCCAACATCTCTCTGCTGGCTGTGTCTGTATATGCCCCTCCCATATCTCTCCTCCCATTCTCTCCTCCCCAATTCCACCTTTCCAGGCTGCCAGGGAGCCCCCCTCCTCCCTCTGCTCTACGTGGCAGCCAACCTAGCCTCCAACATCTCTCTGCTGGCTGTGTCTGTATATGCCCCTCCCATATCTCTCCTCCCATTCTCTCCTCCCCAATTCCACCTTTCCAGGCTGCCAGGGAGCCCCCCTCCTCCCTCTGCTCTACGTGGCAGCCAACCTAGCCTCCAACATCTCTCTGCTGGCTGTGTCTGTATATGCCCCTCCCATATCTCTCCTCCCATTCTCTCCTCCCCAATTCCACCTTTCCAGGCTGCCAGGGAGCCCCCCTCCTCCCTCTGCTCTACGTGGCAGCCAACCTAGCCTCCAACATCTCTCTGCTGGCTGTGTCTGTATATGCCCCTCCCATATCTCTCCTCCCATTCTCTCCTCCCCAATTCCACCTTTCCAGGCTGCCAGGGAGCCCCCCTCCTCCCTCTGCTCTACGTGGCAGCCAACCTAGCCTCCAACATCTCTCTGCTGGCTGTGTCTGTATATGCCCCTCCCATATCTCTCCTCCCATTCTCTCCTCCCCAATTCCACCTTTCCAGGCTGCCAGGGAGCCCCCCTCCTCCCTCTGCTCTACGTGGCAGCCAACCTAGCCTCCAACATCTCTCTGCTGGCTGTGTCTGTATATGCCCCTCCCATATCTCTCCTCCCATTCTCTCCTCCCCAATTCCACCTTTCCAGGCTGCCAGGGAGCCCCCCTCCTCCCTCTGCTCTACGTGGCAGCCAACCTAGCCTCCAACATCTCTCTGCTGGCTGTGTCTGTATATGCCCCTCCCATATCTCTCCTCCCATTCTCTCCTCCCCAATTCCACCTTTCCAGGCTGCCAGGGAGCCCCCCTCCTCCCTCTGCTCTACGTGGCAGCCAACCTAGCCTCCAACATCTCTCTGCTGGCTGTGTCTGTATATGCCCCTCCCATATCTCTCCTCCCATTCTCTCCTCCCCAATTCCACCTTTCCAGGCTGCCAGGGAGCCCCCCTCCTCCCTCTGCTCTACGTGGCAGCCAACCTAGCCTCCAACATCTCTCTGCTGGCTGTGTCTGTATATGCCCCTCCCATATCTCTCCTCCCATTCTCTCCTCCCCAATTCCACCTTTCCAGGCTGCCAGGGAGCCCCCCTCCTCCCTCTGCTCTACGTGGCAGCCAACCTAGCCTCCAACATCTCTCTGCTGGCTGTGTCTGTATATGCCCCTCCCATATCTCTCCTCCCATTCTCTCCTCCCCAATTCCACCTTTCCAGGCTGCCAGGGAGCCCCCCTCCTCCCTCTGCTCTACGTGGCAGCCAACCTAGCCTCCAACATCTCTCTGCTGGCTGTGTCTGTATATGCCCCTCCCATATCTCTCCTCCCATTCTCTCCTCCCCAATTCCACCATTCCAGGCTGCCAGGGAGCCCCCCTCCTCCCTCTGCTCTACGTGGCAGCCAACCTAGCCTCCAACATCTCTCTGCTGGCTGTGTCTGTATATGCCCCTCCCATATCTCTCCTCCCATTCTCTCCTCCCCAATTCCACCTTTCCAGGCTGCCAGGGAGCCCCCCTCCTCCCTCTGCTCTACGTGGCAGCCAACCTAGCCTCCAACATCTCTCTGCTGGCTGTGTCTGTATATGCCCCTCCCATATCTCTCCTCCCATTCTCTCCTCCCCAATTCCACCTTTCCAGGCTGCCAGGGAGCCCCCCTCCTCCCTCTGCTCTACGTGGCAGCCAACCTAGCCTCCAACATCTCTCTGCTGGCTGTGTCTGTATATGCCCCTCCCATATCTCTCCTCCCATTCTCTCCTCCCCAATTCCACCTTTCCAGGCTGCCAGGGAGCCCCCCTCCTCCCTCTGCTCTACGTGGCAGCCAACCTAGCCTCCAACATCTCTCTGCTGGCTGTGTCTGTATATGCCCCTCCCATATCTCTCCTCCCATTCTCTCCTCCCCAATTCCACCTTTCCAGGCTGCCAGGGAGCCCCCCTCCTCCCTCTGCTCTACGTGGCAGCCAACCTAGCCTCCAACATCTCTCTGCTGGCTGTGTCTGTATATGCCCCTCCCATATCTCTCCTCCCATTCTCTCCTCCCCAATTCCACCTTTCCAGGCTGCCAGGGAGCCCCCCTCCTCCCTCTGCTCTACGTGGCAGCCAACCTAGCCTCCAACATCTCTCTGCTGGCTGTGTCTGTATATGCCCCTCCCATATCTCTCCTCCCATTCTCTCCTCCCCAATTCCACCTTTCCAGGCTGCCAGGGAGCCCCCCTCCTCCCTCTGCTCTACGTGGCAGCCAACCTAGCCTCCAACATCTCTCTGCTGGCTGTGTCTGTATATGCCCCTCCCATATCTCTCCTCCCATTCTCTCCTCCCCAATTCCACCTTTCCAGGCTGCCAGGGAGCCCCCCTCCTCCCTCTGCTCTACGTGGCAGCCAACCTAGCCTCCAACATCTCTCTGCTGGCTGTGTCTGTATATGCCCCTCCCATATCTCTCCTCCCATTCTCTCCTCCCCAATTCCACCTTTCCAGGCTGCCAGGGAGCCCCCCTCCTCCCTCTGCTCTACGTGGCAGCCAACCTAGCCTCCAACATCTCTCTGCTGGCTGTGTCTGTATATGCCCCTCCCATATCTCTCCTCCCATTCTCTCCTCCCCAATTCCACCTTTCCAGGCTGCCAGGGAGCCCCCCTCCTCCCTCTGCTCTACGTGGCAGCCAACCTAGCCTCCAACATCTCTCTGCTGGCTGTGTCTGTATATGCCCCTCCCATATCTCTCCTCCCATTCTCTCCTCCCCAATTCCACCTTTCCAGGCTGCCAGGGAGCCCCCCTCCTCCCTCTGCTCTACGTGGCAGCCAACCTAGCCTCCAACATCTCTCTGCTGGCTGTGTCTGTATATGCCCCTCCCATATCTCTCCTCCCATTCTCTCCTCCCCAATTCCACCTTTCCAGGCTGCCAGGGAGCCCCCCTCCTCCCTCTGCTCTACGTGGCAGCCAACCTAGCCTCCAACATCTCTCTGCTGGCTGTGTCTGTATATGCCCCTCCCATATCTCTCCTCCCATTCTCTCCTCCCCAATTCCACCTTTCCAGGCTGCCAGGGAGCCCCCCTCCTCCCTCTGCTCTACGTGGCAGCCAACCTAGCCTCCAACATCTCTCTGCTGGCTGTGTCTGTATATGCCCCTCCCATATCTCTCCTCCCATTCTCTCCTCCCCAATTCCACCTTTCCAGGCTGCCAGGGAGCCCCCCTCCTCCCTCTGCTCTACGTGGCAGCCAACCTAGCCTCCAACATCTCTCTGCTGGCTGTGTCTGTATATGCCCCTCCCATATCTCTCCTCCCATTCTCTCCTCCCCAATTCCACCTTTCCAGGCTGCCAGGGAGCCCCCCTCCTCCCTCTGCTCTACGTGGCAGCCAACCTAGCCTCCAACATCTCTCTGCTGGCTGTGTCTGTATATGCCCCTCCCATATCTCTCCTCCCATTCTCTCCTCCCCAATTCCACCTTTCCAGGCTGCCAGGGAGCCCCCCTCCTCCCTCTGCTCTACGTGGCAGCCAACCTAGCCTCCAACATCTCTCTGCTGGCTGTGTCTGTATATGCCCCTCCCATATCTCTCCTCCCATTCTCTCCTCCCCAATTCCACCTTTCCAGGCTGCCAGGGAGCCCCCCTCCTCCCTCTGCTCTACGTGGCAGCCAACCTAGCCTCCAACATCTCTCTGCTGGCTGTGTCTGTATATGCCCCTCCCATATCTCTCCTCCCATTCTCTCCTCCCCAATTCCACCTTTCCAGGCTGCCAGGGAGCCCCCCTCCTCCCTCTGCTCTACGTGGCAGCCAACCTAGCCTCCAACATCTCTCTGCTGGCTGTGTCTGTATATGCCCCTCCCATATCTCTCCTCCCATTCTCTCCTCCCCAATTCCACCTTTCCAGGCTGCCAGGGAGCCCCCCTCCTCCCTCTGCTCTACGTGGCAGCCAACCTAGCCTCCAACATCTCTCTGCTGGCTGTGTCTGTATATGCCCCTCCCATATCTCTCCTCCCATTCTCTCCTCCCCAATTCCACCTTTCCAGGCTGCCAGGGAGCCCCCCTCCTCCCTCTGCTCTACGTGGCAGCCAACCTAGCCTCCAACATCTCTCTGCTGGCTGTGTCTGTATATGCCCCTCCCATATCTCTCCTCCCATTCTCTCCTCCCCAATTCCACCTTTCCAGGCTGCCAGGGAGCCCCCCTCCTCCCTCTGCTCTACGTGGCAGCCAACCTAGCCTCCAACATCTCTCTGCTGGCTGTGTCTGTATATGCCCCTCCCATATCTCTCCTCCCATTCTCTCCTCCCCAATTCCACCTTTCCAGGCTGCCAGGGAGCCCCCCTCCTCCCTCTGCTCTACGTGGCAGCCAACCTAGCCTCCAACATCTCTCTGCTGGCTGTGTCTGTATATGCCCCTCCCATATCTCTCCTCCCATTCTCTCCTCCCCAATTCCACCTTTCCAGGCTGCCAGGGAGCCCCCCTCCTCCCTCTGCTCTACGTGGCAGCCAACCTAGCCTCCAACATCTCTCTGCTGGCTGTGTCTGTATATGCCCCTCCCATATCTCTCCTCCCATTCTCTCCTCCCCAATTCCACCTTTCCAGGCTGCCAGGGAGCCCCCCTCCTCCCTCTGCTCTACGTGGCAGCCAACCTAGCCTCCAACATCTCTCTGCTGGCTGTGTCTGTATATGCCCCTCCCATATCTCTCCTCCCATTCTCTCCTCCCCAATTCCACCTTTCCAGGCTGCCAGGGAGCCCCCCTCCTCCCTCTGCTCTACGTGGCAGCCAACCTAGCCTCCAACATCTCTCTGCTGGCTGTGTCTGTATATGCCCCTCCCATATCTCTCCTCCCATTCTCTCCTCCCCAATTCCACCTTTCCAGGCTGCCAGGGAGCCCCCCTCCTCCCTCTGCTCTACGTGGCAGCCAACCTAGCCTCCAACATCTCTCTGCTGGCTGTGTCTGTATATGCCCCTCCCATATCTCTCCTCCCATTCTCTCCTCCCCAATTCCACCTTTCCAGGCTGCCAGGGAGCCCCCCTCCTCCCTCTGCTCTACGTGGCAGCCAACCTAGCCTCCAACATCTCTCTGCTGGCTGTGTCTGTATATGCCCCTCCCATATCTCTCCTCCCATTCTCTCCTCCCCAATTCCACCTTTCCAGGCTGCCAGGGAGCCCCCCTCCTCCCTCTGCTCTACGTGGCAGCCAACCTAGCCTCCAACATCTCTCTGCTGGCTGTGTCTGTATATGCCCCTCCCATATCTCTCCTCCCATTCTCTCCTCCCCAATTCCACCTTTCCAGGCTGCCAGGGAGCCCCCCTCCTCCCTCTGCTCTACGTGGCAGCCAACCTAGCCTCCAACATCTCTCTGCTGGCTGTGTCTGTATATGCCCCTCCCATATCTCTCCTCCCATTCTCTCCTCCCCAATTCCACCTTTCCAGGCTGCCAGGGAGCCCCCCTCCTCCCTCTGCTCTACGTGGCAGCCAACCTAGCCTCCAACATCTCTCTGCTGGCTGTGTCTGTATATGCCCCTCCCATATCTCTCCTCCCATTCTCTCCTCCCCAATTCCACCTTTCCAGGCTGCCAGGGAGCCCCCCTCCTCCCTCTGCTCTACGTGGCAGCCAACCTAGCCTCCAACATCTCTTTGCTCGCTCTGCTTGAATGCACTCTGGTTTTTGCCCTCCCTTCTCCCCTCAAAAACCTGCTTGTTTGCGCTCCTTCCTCTTCCTCCCTTCCCCGTTCCACGCTCCCCTCCACCCCATCTTGCCAGGCTGCCAGGGAGCGCCACTCCTCCCGCTGCTCTACGTGGCAGCTAACCTTGCCTTCAACATCTCGCTGCTGGCTCTGCTCAAGAAGTCGTCTGCAGTAATTGCATCTCTATCCATGACCCTCACAGGTATTGAAGCGAGCTACATGCACTCATGCCCTCATGCACACGCACCAACCTACATGCAAATGCACACTTGCTCACTCCCATGTCTCTACCCAAGCAGTCGTCTGCAGTGGTGGCATCTCTGGCCATGTCCCTCACAGGTAATTATTGAGTGAGAGGGCATGCTATGCAAGGGAAGCACACATAAACACTTGCTCACTCATATCTCCCTGCTTGCTCTTCACAAGAAGTCGTCGGCAGTGGTGGCATCTCTCGCCATGACCCTCGCAGGTGTTGATGTGTGAATTACATGCACACAAGCTCACATATGCTCACACTTGCTCATATCTCACTGCTGGGTCAGCTCAAGAAGTCGTCCGCAGTGGTGGCATCTCTCAACAAGTCGTCTGCAGTGGTAGAACCTCACAATCCCTCTTTCCCCCTCCCTCCCCCCCTCCCACTCCCCCAGTTCCCCTGACAGTACTCGCGTTCACCCTCCCCCTGCCCCCTACTGGGCCCGCCCCAGCCCCTGAGGAGGGGCGTTATGGTCAAAACCCTCGTGCTGCTGCTGCTACGAGTATTGCCGCCCTTCAAACCCCTCTTCCCATCTCTCCTCTTTCTCCTTCATCCCAACCCCCCAGCGCCCCTGACAGTGCTAGCGTTCACCCTCCCCCTGCCCATATCTCCCCTCTCTCCCCCCCCAGTCCCCCTGACAGTAGTCGCGTTCACCCTCCCCCTGCCCATATCTCCCCTCTCTCCCCCCCCAGTCCCCCTGACAGTGCTGGCATTCACCCTCCCCCTGCCCCTGCTGGGCCCCCCCCAGCCCCTGAGGGGGGGCGTTATTCTCGGAACCCTCGTGCTGCTGCTGGGGCTGGCTGCTTACAACCTTGCCAAGCCTCTGGTAACGAGGGGAGGAGGGACAGGGGGATTGAAGTTGGCAGCAGGGAAGGAAGACTAGGTGTTTGAGGGAAGGGGAGGAGCAGTTCTAGTCAGCCCCTGAGGGACCTTCTTTGCTCATAGTAGAGGGGGGGAGTTGTGGTCGGAACCTTAGTGTTCCTTCTTAGGCTGGCTGCTTACAGCCTTGCCACGCCAGGAGGAACGGGAGGAGGGAGAGCAGGAGGAGGATTGAAGTTGACAGCAGGGAAGGAGGATAAGGTTGGAGGGGAAGGGTGAGGGGGGAGGGGGTAGGAGGGACTTTGTGAGGGACTAGTTCAGCCCAGCCCGTGTGGGGGGGTGTTGTGGTGGGCTCTTTGAGCTGCCCTTCTTGGGCTTGCTGCACACAACCTTGCCAAGCCAGGAGGACCGGAAGGAGCAGCAGCTGGGAGCACAGGACGAGGTGGGTTGTGTTCTGAGTCGACTCAAAGCACGACTCATTACACGCGGGAGTACAGGACGAGGTGGGTTGAAGTTGGTAGCAGGGAAGGAGGACTAGGCTGGATGGGAGGGGAAGGGACAGAGGAAAAGGGGGAGGAAGGAGGCTCAGTCCCAGCCCCTGGGGGGGGTCGTTGTGGACGGAACCCTCGTGCTGCTGCTGTGCTGGGGCTCGCCGCTTACAACCTTGCCAAGCCTGGAAGCATGGTGGGAGGAAGGGGGAGAGGGAGGGAGATTGAAGTTGGCAGCAGGGAAAGTAGACTAGGTTGATTGCGGGGAGTGGAAGGAGGTGAAAAGGTGAAGCTGGAGTTGGGTTGCATCGTTGATAAGCTGATAACCCTGCGGGCATGAAGGCGGAGGTGGAGGGGAGGATAAGACAATGATGGCTCTGGTGCTGCTTTCGATGTTGCCGACCTTTGAGGGTTCACAAATGTGTCACGAGCATCGCCTCGTCGCAACGGGAAAGGGGATTCGATGGAGTCGTTGCGAGGGGAAAAAACTGAAGCACACAAAACAATGTTGAAAAAATAGGGTATAGCTGCTTCTCGCTCAAGCATACAGCTCACGGTTCAGAGCACAAATAATATACTAATGCCTTGCCATGATTGCAATATATGTATACATATATTAAACATAAACGAATACATCTGAGGAGTCAGGTTGGTCATAATTGAGTCTGGTGGCGCAGAGAGCCAGCCCCGTCATGATTGCTTCATACATGGGAATGAAGCTGATTGTAATATGAACCAAAATTTCATAGGACCTTGTGTCGAATATAAACCATGCGAACCTTCTTCTGTGCTTCTCTCTGTTCGAATCGCAGGTGCAGCTGCACAGGCGTCGTGTGGGGCGGGGATGGTTGGAGGCGCTGCTTGCTATTGGTGCGTTGCTGACGCCTGCGATTTCCAGAGAATATCGCCCACGCGATGAAGAACTGACGACGACCCAGTTCGCCGAGTCGGAGTCGCAGACCTGCAAATTCGGTCAATGCCAGACAGGGTAGTCATGCGCCTGACTCATTTTCGCGTGCCAGTCAGCTATCAGAGAGGCACTCGCACGACACGATCAGCTCCGTTGGCGTTTCCGCAGAACGCGATCCGTGCCACTCCATTACGGGTCGCGTGCGCTTCGATGTCAGTCAGGTCGATTCGAAATCTTATCACTCTCCCCCTCACACATTTGGTGAAGCCAATTTTCATCTCCTCCGATTTCGACATATTTATCAGTTGCTGAATTCAGTCAGCAACACAAATCTCCAGTTTCGAATTGGGAGCTCCACTCAAGCTCACTTCGTTTTGCACTCGAAGCTTGTGAAAGGACCATTGAAAACGTTCTGTCAACAAGCAAGCAGCCATGCGGCGATTTTCTCCAGGGAGCGCCAATTTGGCGTTCCTTTCGCTGGCCATCGCAGCCCTCGTCGCAGCGTTCGCGGCGACGTCTCACGCGCGCGTCTTGGACTTCGGCGACAACAAGCTTTTCCTGGAGCAATTCAGCACCATGATCAAAATCGATACAAGGCCCGCCATTCGCGCGGCCAGCGCAGCTAACTGCCAGCCGTCAACTCTGCCGGACTTCGCATCCGCTGCCGCCCTGTCGCACGGCCTCGTTCTTCACTGGACGCCCGCAACTTCCGGCGGTTCCGTCAGCATGGCCGTCGAAGCGCCCGCGAGCGCCGGATGGATTTCCGTTGCATTTTCGTCAAGCGGAACCATGGCTCCGTCAGATGCGGTGATCGGCAATGCTGACGGCGGCGCAGCCGTCCAGGCGTACAGTATCACCGGCTACGACATGGGCTCCGTCAAGCCGAGCGGCAAACCGTCACTGGGCAGCGCGGGGCTGACGAAATCCGGGGACAAGATCATAATGAAGTTCTCGCGATCGGAGGACGACGGCGGATCTGTCGCATTTAAGTCCGGAAAAAATAAGCTCATCTGGGCGACGTCGTCTGGCGGCTCTACGACACTCGGCTATCATGGCAGCAACCTGTAAGCTCCTTCCCCAAGCGGTGTATATGATTTTCATGCATTAATAACTCAATCCCGAAAGAGTGATGAAAGATAAGCTGAGAAGTGTTTGGCCCTGTAATCACGAAACGAACTCGAGACCCAGCTCTATGTTCCTGCTGCTCTAATTGATCATTCTTCCACATACTCCCTATCTCTCCTAACCAGTGGCGCCGGCGAAATCGACTTTTCCTGCAACGGCGGCGGCGGAGGCGGAAGCAGCGGCTCTGGCAGCGGAAGCGGAAGCGGAAGCGGAAGTGGAAGCGGAAGCAGCGGAAGCGGAAATGGAAGCGGCGGAAGCGGCGGAAGCAGCGGTTCTTCCAGCCCGCCAAAGTCTCCCCCAGCCAGCCCCCCACCCGCCAAATCCCCCCCTTCTAGCCCGCCAGACAATTCTCCCGCCTCTTCGTCCCCATCCCCCCCCTCCTCCTCGTCATCCTCCTCCTCCTCTTCCTCCTCTTCCTCCTCTTCCTCCTCTTCCCCCTCTTCTTCCTCTTCCTCCTCGTCCGACTCCTCGTCTAACTGGTGGGACGCCTACACCTCGTCGTCCTCTTCTTCCCCCTCGGGTTCCTCCTCTTCCCCTTCAGGTTCGTCCTCCTCCCCGTCTGACTCCTCCTCCTCCCCCTCTTCCTCTTCCTCGTCATCCTCCTCTTCATCCTCTGACTCCTCTTCTTCCTCCTCTTCCTCCCCTTCGTCCTCAGACTCCCCTTCTTCCTCTTCTCCCTCTTCCTCCTCTTCCCCCTCCTACAACGACTATCAATCCTCCCCCCCTTGGTGGACTGCCTATGCCAAACCCTCCCCTCCCCCCTCCTCCTCCTCGCCCTCTTCCCCCGATTCCTCTTCGGGCAAATCGTCAGATTCAATTGCATCGACTAAGAGCACCGACAGCAGCAGCAGCGCCGACAGCAGCAGCAGCATCAGCAGCACGGACAGCAACAGCGGCAACGGAGGCGGAAGCTCTGGTGGTGACAGCGGCAGCAGCAGCAGCAGCGGCAGCAGCAAGAAAAACGGCGGCAGCAGCAGCAAGAAAAGCAGCAGCGGCAGCAGCAGCAGCAGCAGCGGCGGTAGCAGCTCCGATCAATCCGCTTCCTCCTCCTCGCCCTCGTTTTCCTCCTCTACTGCTGCTTCCTCCGGTTCTGCCTGCCCCGGGTCCACCCTGGCCGGATACACCTACTCCACGCCACTCAGGGGCTCAGAGTAAGCACTCAGTAGCCTTTTCTCACCTGGATTCTAGTAGCTCTTCTGGCTTTACATTTGCTCAATTCTGTCGAATCCTTTTCTATTCTTGGTTCATGCTTGGTCATCCCCTCACGGGAGCTGATTCAGTCCCCTCGTTCTTAACACGTTTTTTTTCGTTCCTGTTCTATTTTTGTTTTTTTTTGCCAGTTTTGTCCTGCACTGGGCTGCGCCAGCCAACGGGCAGCTGGATATGGCGATGGAGGCGAAATCAGGCAGCGGCGCGGCGAAGGGATGGATGTCAGTCGCATGGTCCGCCAACGGAGGAATGGCGGAGAGCACAGCCGTCATCGGCAACATGGACGGCGGAAACGTTGCTGGTTACCACATTACCGGTTACAGCATGAGCACCGTGAAGGAGAACGGGATGGACATTGGCGGGGACGCGGGGACGAGCAACGAAGGCGGGTCGACCGTTGTGAAGTTCCTGCGACGCGAGAGCGACGGCGGGGAGGTGAAGATTAATCTGAGCGGGAAGAATAAGCTCGTGTGGGCGTACTCGACAGGGTCCAAGTCTCTCGGCTATCACGGCGGCAACTTGTAAGGCTCTTTCCGTGCTTTGTCTCTCGCTCTTTCTTCCTTCACATGCAGACGTGCCAAGCTTTTAGTCGCTCTTCCCCTCTTTTGTCTTCCGCTCTCCCCCTCTCTGCCTGCCCTTGCGCCTGCTCACTCCAGCGGACACCTCACTGTCGATTTCTCCTTATCAGTCCCTGCCCCCCCCCTCTTCCTCTTTCCCCCCTATTCCACTCATCGGTTCCCCCACCCCTCCCCCTTCTTGCGCCTGCCCCTCTCCCCCCGCTCCCCCATTCCAGTGGAAGCCTCACTGTCGACTTCTCCTGCCAGTCCGCACCTGGGGGGGGGGGTGGTGGAGGCGGGGAAGGGGAAGAGGGGGAAGGAGGGGAAGGAGGGGAAGGAGGGGAAGGAGGGGAAGGAGGGGAAGGTGGGGAAGGAGGGGAAGGTGGCAGTGAGGGGGGTGAGGGCGGCGGGAGTGGCGGGGGCGAGAGCGGCGGGAGTGGCGGGGACGAGAGCGGCGGGGGCAATGGGGGAGAGAGCGGCGGGGGCAATGGGGGAGAGAGCGGCGGGGGCAATGGGGGAGAGAGCGGCGGGGGCAAGGGGGGAGAGAGCGGCGGGGGCAAGGGGGGCGAGGGCGGAGGGAGCGAGGGGGGTGAGGGCGGAGAGCACGAGGACGGTGAGGGGGGTGGGGACGAAGGGGATGAGCATGAGGAGGAAGGTGACGATTGAGCAGTTTATAAGGCCGTGCTCGTTGTGCTCGTTATGCACTTTGTACTGTAGTCAAATTGGGTTTGTTTAGTTTAAGAATGCACTTGTGTGTCACCTTCTACCTTGAAAG